ACACTGTGCTCTTGGGAGATTCTGAAGAGAAGTTGCAGAGATTGGTGGATGAATTTGGTAGGGTGTGCAAAAGAAGAAAATTAAAGGTGAATACAGGAAAGAGTAAGGTTATGAGGATAACAAAAAGATTAGGTGATGAAAGATTGAATATCAGATTGGAGGGAGAGAGTATGGAGGAGGTGAACGTATTCAGATATTTGGGAGTGGACGTGTCAGCGGATGGGTCTATGAAAGATGAGGTGAATCATAGAATTGATGAGGGAAAAAGAGTGAGTGGTGCACTTAGGAGTCTGTGGAGACAAAGAACTTTGTCCTTGGAGGCAAAGAGGGGAATGTATGAGAGTATAGTTTTACCAACGCTCTTATATGGGTGTGAAGCGTGGGTGATGAATGTTGCAGCGAGGAGAAGGCTGGAGGCAGTGGAGATGTCATGTCTGAGGGCAATGTGTGGTGTGAATATAATGCAGAGAATTCGTAGTTTGGAAGTTAGGAGGAGGTGCGGGATTACCAAAACTGTTGTCCAGAGGGCTGAGGAAGGGTTGTTGAGGTGGTTCGGACATGTAGAGAGAATGGAGCGAAACAGAATGACTTCAAGAGTGTATCAGTCTGTAGTGGAAGGAAGGCGGGGTAGGGGTCGGCCTAGGAAGGGTTGGAGGGAGGGGGTAAAGGAGGTTTTGTGTGCGAGGGGCTTGGACTTCCAGCAGGCATGCGTGAGCGTGTTTGATAGGAGAGAATGGAGACAAATGGTTTTTAATACTTGACGTGCTGTTGGAGTGTGAGCAAAGTAACATTTATGAAGGGATTCAGGGAAACCGGCAGGCCGGACTTGAGTCCTGGAGATGGGAAGTACAGTGCCTGCACTCTGAAGGAGGGGTGTTAATGTTGCAGTTTAAAAACTGTAGTGTAAAGCACCCTTCTGGCAAGACAGTGATGGAGTGAATGATGGTGAAAGTTTTTCTTTTTCGGGCCACCCTGCCTTGGTGGGAATCGGCCAGTGTGATAATAAAATAATAAATGTTAAAAGCAGGTGGGGATATAGTTTTGGAGTGATTGGTGCATTTTATTCAATATATGCATGAAAGGGGGGCAAAGTACAGAGAGCATGCATAGTTCCTTTGTATAAGAAAAAGAGGATAAAAGAGAGAGTAAAAATTATAGAGAAATAAGCTTGTTGAGTATACCAGGTAAAGTGTATGGCAGAGTTATTGTTGAAAGAATTATGAGCAAGACAGACAGTAGGATTGCAAAGGAACAAGGAGGTTTTAGGAAGAGTTGGGAATGAGTAGACTAAGTGCTTGCATTGAAGCACATAATGAACTATGAATAGATAAAGGTAAAGAAATTTCTGTTGCATTTATGAATTTAGAAGATATGTGATAGGGTGGACAGGGGAACAATGTGGAAGATGTTGCAAATGTATGGAAAATGTGGCAGGTTACTTATAGCAGGTTATGGAATTTAACAAAGAGGGAGATTATTTTCCAGTAAAAGTAGGCTCCATGCATGATGTCACCATGGTTATTTAACATATTTGTAAATGGGGTTGTACAAGAAGTGAACACTAGGGTGTTAAGGAGAATGGGACTGAAAGATAGTAAATCAGGTGCAGAGTGGGAGTTGTCACAGTTTCTGTTTATCAATGACATGGTTCTATTGGCAGATTTGGAAGATTAGTTGCAAAGGTTGGTAAAAGAATTTGGGAGGGTATTATTTTTTTTCCAACAAACTGGCCATATCCCACCATGGCAAGGTGACCCAAAAAGAAAAACAAAAGTTTTTCCTTGTAAATTTAGTAATTGTATTACACAGGAGAAGGGGTTACTAGCCCCTTGCCCCCAGCATTTTAGTTGCCTCTTATGACACACTTGGCTTACGGAGGAAGAATTCTTTTCCACTTCCCACAGAGATAAGAAATGAAGAACAAGAACTATTAAGAAAATAGAAAAAAAACCAGATGGGTGTGTAAATATATACGAGTGAACATGAATGTGTAGTGTGACCTAAGTAGTAGAAGTAGCATGTTATGAGACAGAAAAAAGACACCGGCAATCCTACCATCATGTAAAACAATTACAGGTATTCATTTTACACTCACTCGCAGAACAGTAGTACCTCCCTGGGTGGCTGGTGTCTACCAATCTAACACCTAGGATTGGGAGGGTATATAAAGGAAATTAAAAGTAAACACGGGAAGAGCAAGGTGATGAGAGAATCTAAAAATATATGTAATGAAAGATTGGATATTAGAATGAAGGGAATATGGAGGAAGTAAATGTGTTCAAATATCTGGCAAGTGGACTTGTCAAAAGATGGTTCTATGAGAGATGACATGAACCATAGAATTGATGAATGAAAAAAGGTGGGAGGGTGCACTGAGGCTTCTGGAAAAAAAAAAATTATCCATGGAGGCAAAAAAGGGAATGAAGAAGAATATAGAGGTACCAACACTGATGAATGAATGTGAAACATGGGTTCTGAATGTTGCAGCAAGGATGAGGTTGGAGGCAGTGAGATGTCACATTTGAGGGTAATGTGTAATAAGAAAATTATGCAGAGAATTCAGAAGCTGGAGATTAGGTGTGAAGCCACCAAAAGTATCATTAACCCTTTCAGAGTCCACAAGCCCTCTCAGAGACTTGTTCTCAGGGTCCCCCAAATTTAAAAAAAAATAAAAATTATTTCTTATGAAAAGATAGAGAATCTTTTCCCGATCATAATGACACCAAAAGTATGAAATTTGGTGGAAAACTTACGGAATTATGCTCTCGCGAAGTTAGTGGTCTCGACGATATTTACACATCAGCGATTTTGCCCACTTTGAGCCCTATTGTCAGCCAATTCCAGTGTACTAGTCGACAAAAATCATACCTATTTCGCTAGAACTCCATTTTTTCTATCGAATGAGTACAAGAAACCACCCATTTACCAATTTCAACTATCCAATACAGTGGTCAGAATTTAGCAATTTTGCCAATTTCACACAAATTTCAAAAGATGCCAATTTCGGAATAGGGTCCAGAATAAACAAGAATGACATTCCTGGCACTAAAATAAAATTTCCTCTGTTCATTAGTCACGTCCCCACGCCCCTCTTACATTCTTTTGCTTTCCATTTTGAATTTTTATTCTCACAAAAAATAGAAGATTTACTGTTATGCAGACTACTGCATTAGTGTAGAAATGGTATAAATAATATCAGCGCACTTGTGAAAGAATATTAGACTCACCAGTTGACGTGTATTGGATGCTTAGTATGATTTGTTTACTTTTGAACTATGGTAAAAATCGAACATTTCTGCTACTTTGAGCTCAATTTCAAGGTCCTTTCATTGTAAAACCAGTCAAAATCATCTCAATTTCTGTAATATTTCTTCCATTCTATCAAATGAGACCAGGAAAACTAAAATACAACAATAAATACCATACGAAAATACAGTGCAAAGTCGCTGTTTTAATCCAAAAACACAAAGTTTTTTTTTCTCATTACGCACTGTGTGCTGCAGGATTTTTTTTATACTGTGAACACTGACCACATAGACCCATTCTTTCATATGTAAGCCTACCAGCTTTCTTTCACTAGATTTGAAGGCGCTAGAATTTATGAGTACTAGTATGTCAAGGACGTAAGCCGTACTAGTATGGCCGAAACCCTGAAAGGGTTAAGAGTGCTGAGGAGAGGTTGCTGAGATGGTCTGAACATTCAGAGAGACTGGTAAAAAGAGGATGACAACTGGAGTTAAAAAAAGACATCCTACTTGGCATCATTCTCTCTAAATTCTCCAACTAGCTCAACAATCTAACCTAAGCCTCTGAATTATACTTTTGGTAATGCCTCACCTACTTATCTCAAAGCTCTGAAATCTCTGCAAACTATTCATACCACATATTGCCCTCAAAGACATCACTACCTCCATCCACCTGGCTGCAATTTTTAAAACCCATGCTTCACACCCAAATAACAATGTTGGTACCAATATATATGCTCTGGTACATTAACCTTTTTGCCTTTGTGGAAAAAGTTCTTTGTCTTCAGTGATGCCTAAATGTATCACCCACCTTCTCCTCATCAGTTCTAAAGATCACCTCCTCTTTCATAGACCTATTTGCCAATAAGTCAGTTCAAAAGTATATGAATGCATTTACTTCCTCCATCCTCCCTCCAATCTCTCATTGCCTAAATTTATTTGTTACTCTTATGTTCACTTTTAATTTCCTTCTTTTACATACTCTCCCAAATTCAGCCACCAATCTTTGTACCTTTGCACCATTGTGACATCACACATTCCTACCTAAGGCCTACTTTTATCGGAAAATAATTCCCCTCTCCCCTGCATGCTCTAACTTGAGTCTCACTACCCACATAAAAACTATCACTTTTAGCAACCTAATGCCTATTCAATACATATGCAATATCTGCCCCATCCCTTCCATCTATCCACCCTATCATAAGCATTTTCTGAATCCATCATACATAACTGATTTGAATTTAATATACAGAATTAAACACTTTATTTATATAAATTTATTCAGTACAGATAATCCTCTTACTACATGAAATTACATGGAGCAATTCATTATTAACACAACTAAAAAAGTGCAATTAAGATATCCAAGTGAACAAAAAGTCTTGATATAACATGACATAAAACTAAAGAAATAAAAGCTGCCAATGTAAAGTAACACAGACCTAGTGTCTGGGGGGGCACAAACCCAGCTACCATGTTAAAGTATTTTTTATTACTACAAATAATTAACATTACATACCGAACTTGTTGCTACACCTAATAAGCCATCAATGATGTGCATGTATAGATCATCAATTATCTAGCTACCAATTATTCAGTGGCCAATGTAATCATTCAAACTTTGTGATTTATCACTTGTATAAAATAGATAACCCTGAACCACATAATTGTCTGATAGCTGAAAACCGAGCACACCCTCCACCGTACTTAATGATAATTAACATTAAAGAACTAGTAACACTAAGTACAACATACCGAGTGAGTGAAGGGAAAGAAGAGCAGTTTAAGCTTCTTCATGACATACTGGGTGTCGACGGCGAAGTAATACTTGACCTGGCTCATGCTGACGTACTTCTCTAGCTTCTTGTCCACATACTCTCGACCCTGGTGAGCTAGAGTCTGGCCATACTGCATGGCCATGCCTGCCACCATGGGGTCCTGCACCAGAAAAAACAATAAACAGCCCTAACATTCCAATCAATGAATTAATTAATATTTTTACAGAGAGAGAGACAGAAAGAGACAGAGACAGGCAGAAAAAGATAAAGAGACAGACAAAGAGAGAGACAGACACAGACAGACAAAGAGAGAGAGGCAGACAAACACACACCCCAGCACAAATACCACCATTACAGCAGTCTCTCATAAAATCCTGCCCTACCACCTTCTGCACCTGAACCCACACCAGCTCCTCCCACTCCCCAGAATACAGTACCGGTAAAGAAGCCAAGGGTATGGTACACCAATGCAGATGGAGTAACAAACATGAGTGAAGTGTGGCATGAATGAATCAGAAGGGCATGATCTTCCTGACTGGCTATCAGATCCTGAAAAAAGACAGAGGGAACAGAAGGGAAAGAGTTGCAGTGCTCATCAAAAACAGAGTTCTGAGATGGAATGAACAGAAGGGAAGCAGATAACTACATAGGAGGCACACTTCAGACCAAGGTTCACAAGGTTTCGATAACTGTGATGTGTAACCCACCACAGAACAGTAAAAGACCGAGACAAAAGTATGATGAGAGCAACAGATTATTATAATTATTATAATCACGAGGGAGCACTAAACTCGTAGGATTATACAGTGCACGTGGGAGGGGGGATGGAAGGTACTCAGGCTCAATTCAGGGAACTGGAGCACAGATCCAATTCTTTAGATCAAGAGCCCCTAAGCAGCATCAAGGAACCTCCCTTGAGGGGTGAGAGCAACAGAAGATACATTAGCTGAGGTGGCCAGAAAGGCCCACATGGGAAGGGCAAAGTTATTTCTCATGGAGGATTTAAACCACAAAGAGATTAACTGAGAAAACCTGCAGCCACACAGGGAACCAGAAACATGGAAAGTTAAGCTGGAGGTGGTACTAGAAAACTTCATGCACCAACAAGACAGGGACACAACCAGAGACGAGAGGATGAGCCAGTAAGGCTGGACCTCATAGTCTTCTCGAGTAGCTCCAACATCAAGGATATTACATGTGAAAGGCCCCTCGGTGCTAGTGACCAATTGGTCCTGAGCTCTGAATACCTTCTAAAGTTAACAGTGGAGAATGCAGTAGTATAGGGAAACTATACAGGCATGAGGCAATTCCTGTATGAAGTGCGATGAGGAAGAGGACTAGAGGGGAAGACTGTACACAAAATGATGGAACACATGACCACAAAGTGTAGGGAGGCAGAGAAGTTCATACCAAGGGGTACCAGAAACAATAGCAAGACCAGAGTGAGCCCATGGTTTAACAAGAGGTGTAGTGAGGCCAAAGTAAACTGTGCTTGAGCATGGAAAAAGTATAAAAGGCAAAGAACTTACGAAAATAAGGAGTTGAATCTTAGAGTCAGAAACAAACATACAATAGGGCCCCACTTATACGGAACGTAAGGTTCCAGGCTACCGCCACAAAGCAGAATGCTATCTTTTTCCACTTATAAATGCATATAAATGCCAGATAACAAGTTTACACTAACATATATTAAGTTAGCAATAGAATTAGGAATTAAAAAACCATAAAAAGTAAAATACAAACACAGTACACTCATTATTTGCCTCAAAATATTTGTAGTCTTAATGTAGGGCAAAAGTTGAGTAGTATTTACTGTAAGAAGTCAGGTGTGCTAGGTATGGTAGCCCTCCTGGCCACCCCACCCACACATAATATACCACAACGCTTAAAGTGCCTTAGAGTGATAAAATGCATATACAGTACACTCATTACTTACCTTAAAATATTTCTAGTCTTAATGGTCGTAATGTAGGGTGAGAGGTGAAAAATATTTATTTGTAGAGAGAACGAGTAAGATGACAAAGCCGCAGAGTACTTATGTAAACAAACACGTCCGGTTATGGTTGATACACGTTCATACGAACACCTTACATTGTGTATAAGTTGTCTCCACAGTGGTACAGTAGAATAAATAAAGACCAACACTTCCACTCTCATGTAACATCATTTTTAGAAGGAATGATGCTCTGACAAATGATGTTGATTATTATTATTATTTTTTTTTTTTTTTTCAACAAGTCGGCCGTCTCCCACCGTTATTATTATTATTATTATCATTATTGCAAATTATTATTATTACAAGGTATTACTACTATTATTATAATCATAATAAAACAGAAGCACTAGATGCACAAGGGTCGTGAATAGCTACAGATAGAGTGAAGGCATACGAAAGGAATATTTTTCTACAGTTAAGTAACTGGTGTTTGACTGAAGAAAATGTAATTCTTCCGACATTCCTACAAACCGCTTGGTAAACAAATCTCATATTTAAATCAATTTTTATACTGTGGGTGTGTGTATCATGTTTATATGTTACCTAGCATGTTTATTATATAATTCTGAAAAAATATCATAGATGGATTAATGGAAATGTCTATATTAACGTAATATACGATATTTAATACACCCAAGAGATTATATGGTGTCAGTAGAGAGACTGTGTACCTGCATGCCAGCACAGTGTGTAAGTATATTTAGGTACAGGTACATGTGTATAATTATAATAGTATACATAAAATACGCAATAACTTTAAAACACTAGAAATTTTGGAAAATTTCCAGACATAATAGAGAGATGTGCTCACGGAGAATATAAACATACTGGGTGGGGCGCACTGTATTACAAAGACCGCTCACCATATAGCAAGTTTTGGTCATAATTTGAAATTGCTGTATTACCAGAACACCGTAAGGCAAAATGCCGTAAAGTGGGGCCCTACTGTACGTGGATAAGGAGGGAGGCCCAGGGGCAATATGAGAATGACATAGCATCAAGAGCCAAATCTGACCCAAAGTTGCTATATAGCCACATCAGGAGGAAAACAACAGTCAAGAGACCAGGTAATCAGGCTGAGGAAGGAAGGAAGAAGGGGAGCTTACGAGGAATGACCAAGAGGTATGTGAAGAGCTGAGCACGAGGTTGAGGAAGGTATTCTCAGAGACAGAAAGGCTTCCAGCAAACTGAGGTAGAAGAGTACACCAGCAAGTGCTGGAGGAGGGAAAGAAACTGCTATGTGAATTAGATTCCTCAAAGGCAGTTGGCAGAGAACATCTCTCCAAGAGTCCTGAGAGAGGGAGCAGAGGTGCTCTGTGTGCCACTAGCAACAATCTTCAACAAATCTATCAAAACAGGGCAACTGCCTGAAGTGTGGAAGACAGCAAATGTAGTCTCAGTTTTTAAGAAAGGAGACAGACTTCCAGCAAGCGTGCGTGAGCGTGTTAGATAGGAGTGAATGGAGACGAATGGTACTTGGGACCTGACGATCTGTTGGAGTGTGAGCAGGGTAATATTTAGTGAAGGGATTCAGGGAAACCAGTTATTTTCATATAGTCGGACTTGAGTCCTGGAAATGGGAAGTACAATGCCTGCACTTTAAAGGAGGGGTTTGGGATATTGGCAGTTTGGAGGGATATGTTGTGTATCTTTATATGTGTATGCTTCTAGACTGTTGTATTCTGAGCACCTCTGCAAAACCAGTGATAATGTGCGAGTGTGGTGAAAGTGTTGAATGATGATGAAAGTATTTTCTTTTTGGGGATTTTCTTTCTTTTTTGGGTCACCCTGCCTCGGTGGGAGACGGCCGACTTGTTGAAAAAAAAAAAAAATAGACAGACAGGTAGCATTAAACTACAGATCAGTGTTGCTGAGACATGTATAGTATGTCAAGTCATGGAGAAAATTATCAAGAGAAGAGTGGTTGAGCACCTAGAAAGGAATTGGCTCATGCATGAAAACCAGCAAAGATTCAGGGATGGGAAATCCTGTATCACAAAACCTACTGGAATTCCATGAACAGGTAACAGAAGATAGGACTGAGAGAGATAGATAGACTGCATTTTGACAAAGTACCGCACAAGAGACTAGTACAAAAGCTAGAGCAGGCAGGAATAGCAATAAAGTGACTGCAATGGATCAGGGAATACCTGACAGGAAGGAAACAAGTGGTGGTACGTGACGAGGTGTCGGAGTGGGCACATGTGTTGACTGGGGTTCCACAAGGGTCAGTCCTAGGGCCAGTGCTGTTTCTTATGTGTGTGAATGACATGATGGAAGGGAGAGATTCAGAGGCATCCCTGTTCGCAGATGACACGAAACTAATGAGAATACCAGTGGACGAGGATCAGAAAAGACTACAAGGGATATGGACAGGCTATAAGCCTGGTCTAACAAATGGCTACTAGAGTTTAACCCCAACAAATGCAAAGTTATGAAGCTTAGGAAGGAACAAAGAAAACTGCAGATGACTTAAGAAATCGTAATGACACGATTGCAAACAAACCATACCCCCGGCCGGGATTGAACCCGCGGTCATAGAGTCTCAAAACTCCAGCCCAGCTCCAAATAACTGCTGCAGCATATGGATGCCTGGCAAACCTAAGAATAGCATTTCAACATCCAAGTAAGGAGTCACTCACAACGCTGTACACCATGAACATCAGGTTCCATACTGGACTGCATACTCCAGTGGAGTATGCAGTCCAGTATGGAACCCAGAAATTAGACAAAGTGCAAAAGTTTGTATGTCTTATGAGAAGAGTTTAAGAGAACTCAACCCAACGACACTGGAGGACAGGAGGGATACAGAAGAACATGATAATGATGTATAAAATACTGAGAGGAATTGACAAGGTGAACAGGGACATAATGTTTCAGAGATGGGATACAGGAACAAGGGGACACAACTGAAAGTTGAAAACTCAGACGAGTTACAGGGATGTCAAGAAGTATTTCTGCAGTCTTAGAGTTGTCTGGAAGTGGAACAATCTGGAGAATGAAACAGTAGAGGCAGGATCCATACACATTAAGAAGAGGCATGATAAGGCTCTTGGAACCGAGAGAATGGACATAGCAGTAACCAGCAGCAGCTTTGCTGAAATAACAGATGTGTCCAGGCCAGGTTCAAGCGAGAGATGAGTCGTCTTGCTATTCTGTCTAAG